GGCTGAAATATTTCTCAAAGGTATACCTTCAGGGAATTGAGTGGATGCACAAATGATAGTTAACAAATTCTGGTTCCCAATCGAGTTTTGGGCAAAGGCCCAACACAATCAACAAGCACACGACTGAAGGGTTCTTCGAAAGCTGAGATAGGTTTCAGAGGAGCAACAGGAATTTTTTGGTTAGGTTTTCCAACCAACTGACAGGTATCACAAGTTTTGCAAAACTGAGAAACACCTTACTAATTTTTGGCAAAAAGAAATGTCTCATAATTTTGTCACATGTCCTGTTGATACCCAAATTACCTCCCATGGGAATTTCATGGGCAACTTTTAATATTTCAGGATGATATGCCTTGGGAACAACGATTTGATAAACGATACCCCAATCCTCTGAATCTGACACATCTGGTGGTCTTCTTTTTCTCATAAGCACTTCATTTTTGAAAAAAATAACCATTTGGAACTTTCTCCAGTTCATCTTTTGGGAGAGCATATTTAAATATTGAAGAGATCTGCAGATCTTTTTCTTGCTCAGCGATCAGTTTACTATTAGTAAAAGGAACTTCACCAGGTGAATCAGATCTCTCACGTCCATAACTGTCACTCACCATTGTATTGTCAGTAGAACAATCATCCACAAGATCCATGACGGATCCAAAACATCTGAGACAAATCTATAATATCGTTCTTTGAATCCATGTCTATCATTTGTTTTTGGCTTAATTTCTTAGCCTGAGCTCGAGTCACAGCACACGAGGGAAACACATCGGGATTCTCCTCAACGACAACATCATCCTTAGATGAAACAGTTATCAGCTCACTAACCATTTTAGGTTCGGCAACAACTTTTCCTCCAGCCAAATCGTTTCCCATCAACAATGATACACCCTTAATTGGCAGAGTAAAGTCTTACTCTAACCACAACTGGTCCCGAAACTGGGTCTGATGCTAAATAAATGTTATGAAGAGGAACATTAACAAAGCCACTCTCAACACCCTGAGCAATAACCGACTCACCAGTGGCATAACTCGAATCCAAAGGCAATACACCTTCTAACAACAATGACTGAGTCGCCCCAGTATCACATTAGAATACTTATGGGTATGGGATTGCCAGTGTCATTTGTCAAAGACTCAGAACCAACAGACACAAAAGGTCTAAATTCCTCCATGCTTACATCAGCCTTTATATCAGTAGCCAAATCAACAACTACGTCCATATGTGTAAACAAACGCACTGGGTGTAGCCTCATTTTCTTTTTTCTTCTCCAAACACAAACAATCAGACATAACATGATTTTCAGAAGAGCCCTCAACTTTAGTGGATTGTCAGATACAGGTTTTTGTTAAGATGATAGGAATTACTTTTATGAAAAGTGGTTTTATGTGTTAAAGTATAGTCATCAGAAAGAGCAGCTTCTTCCTATAGTGTTTCAACTTTCTTTCATCTAAGTAAGATTTGTGGTCGTCACGTGCACAATGTTTAACTTCCTCAATTAGGCATA